GATGATGAAAAAGAAAAAGTTCAAAATCTACAGTTTACCAATGAAGAACAAAATGTTGCTAATATTGAGTTACAAAATAAAAACACTGAACTTTTAATAAAGATTAAAGAACTAGATTTTGATTTAGCTAAAGAAMGGAATCTAGCTAAAGATGTAGAAAAAGAAAAAATGAAGATTTTTGAAAAAGAAGAAGAATTGTGTAGAGTAAAAGAAGAGTTAGAAACTCTAAAGAAATTAATAAACAACAATGAAGATGAATTACAAAAATCAGTTTCAAATTTAAGTTCAGAAGTAGTTGATAAAGAAGCGATTTTAAATACATTACGTCAAACATTGAATGAAAATTCTCAAACTCATGATCGCTTATTAAAAGAAGCTAATGAAAATTTATCTGCTACTACAGAACGATTAACCAAAGTAATAGAAGAAAAAGAAAAAAAAATTGAACAGAATCAAGAGATGATTGACCAATTAAACGAAGGTATAAAATGTTTGAGTGCATTAAAAAATGAAGAACACGATGATATCGTAAATAATCTTAAAAATGAGCTTTCAAAATTAAAAGATGAATATAAAGTAATCATTGATGAAAAAGAGAAAGATAATAAAATTATTCAAGAGAATCATATCAAAATTGAAGATGAACTCAAACAAGAATTAAAAAAATTATCTGAAAYTAAAAATCAAGAGATTAAACAACTAGAACAAAAAAATCTTGAAGAACTAGAAAAGCTTAAAAATGCTAATCAAAACATAAATACAGAATTAAAAGCAGCATTAAAATCTGTACAAGATCAAACAAATGTAATAGCAGATTTAGAGAAAAAATACAAAGATTTAGAACTTCAACAAAATTCTACTAGAAATGAATTAGAAAAAGAACTTACTACAAAACTCAGTATTGTTGAAAATGAATTAAAATATTTAAAATCTGAAAAATCAATGTTAGAAGAAAAACACGAAAATTATATAAAAGAAACAGCAAATGCAACAAATGTCTTAGACAATCAACTAAAACAWAACAATATTTTAATAGAAAATCTAAATAAATCATTAAATGAATTAACTTTATCAAAACAAAATGAATTAGAATCTATAAAAAAACAATTATTGCAGTTGGAAGAAGAACGAGATGAATTATTAAAGCGACAAAGTTTAGAATTATCCATTAAAGATGAACTAATAAATACACTATCCAATAAACTTGAACTGTCATTAACAGAAAAACAAAAACAAGATTTAAGTAATGCTAATTTACAGACTGAATTAACAAATGAAACTACAAAGTATCAAACGACTATTAAAAATTTGCAAAACAAAATTGATGAATTAGAATTAAATATTGCATCAAATCGTGAATCATTTAAATCTGAAATAGAATTATTAAATAATGAAAAACTAACAAGTATGTCAGAAAATTTGAACCTTTTAGAAAAATTAAAGTCTCTGGAAAATTCAAAGTTGAATCTTGAAGAGAAATTATTGTCTAATGAAGCTTGTGTACAAGATATTCAGAATTTAAATGATGTAATTGAAGAAAAAAAGAAAATTATAGATGATAATCAAATAAAAATTAAACAGTTAGATAATTTTKTTATACAAACCAAAAATGAATATGATGTTATTCTCAAACAAAAAGAAGAAGAAATCAAGGAGCTGTTAAAAATTGGAGAAGAAAAAATGGAAATAGAAAAGTTGTCATTAGAAGAAAAAACTAAAGTTATATTAGATGATAAAAATAAAGAAAATTCAATGCTTCGCCAAAAAATTGTAGATCTAGAAAATATGAAAAAAGATTTAGAAATACAATTAGAAATGGGTAAATCACTTGAACAAGATTTGAAACAATCAAATGAAATAATCCACGATAAAATAAAAAATATTAATGATAAGGATTTGAAGATTGAAGAGCTGAATAACGTAATTAATCTAACCAAAAATGAATTTGAAAATAAATTATTGGTGAAAGAAAATGAAATCAAAGATTTATCAAAAGTTGCTGAGGAAAAATTAATCATTGAAAAGAAACAAATAGAAAAACAGAATAAGGCAATGTTGGAAGATAAAAATAATGAAATTTCCAGTCTTATGGAAAAACTTAGTATTTTAGAGAACTCTAAAACAAGCGTCGAGCAACAATTAATTGAAACAAACAAAAAACAAGA